CACATCACATAGCACACAGCCATGGTTGCTCTATGCTTTGCCTTGAGAATCATACTGATAAAGCCGTGTTTCGTCTCCTGTTAGAATTCCGGAACCAGCACTGCGGCATAGCACGTAAGGCCGCAGCCCGTGACTGCCATCCATATGGGCACTAGTTCGAGTCCTTGCTGCTCCACTTCCTATCCAGCTCTCTGCTAATGCATCTAAGAAAGCAGCAGAAGATGGCCCAAGTGCTTGGGCCCCTGAACTAACATGGGAGACCTAAAAGAAGCTCTTGGCTCTGGCTTTGGCCTGTCCCACCAGGCCATTGGTGGTTATTTAGAGAGTGAACCAGGAGATGGAAGATCAATTTATTTTCTCTTTCTGTCTCTTTCCCTCTCCCTCTCACTCTCTCCCTCTCTCTCTCTTTCTCTCCTTCCCTCCTTCCCTCCCCCTCCCCCTGAGTAACTCTGCCTTTCAAATAAGTAAAATAAATTAAAAAAAAAATTCTTTGAAGAAATGCTTCAGAATCTTGATCCTACTTGTTTAAAGTTTTCATTGAAAGCTCTGTGCTTGTCTGCAGCTGCTCTGAACACAACGGCTTTGGCATCCATCAAGCAGAAAGTTTGCTCCGCCTTCATTTTCAGTCAGAATTGTGAAAGCTGGGGTAATTCAGACGTCTCCACTGGTGCTGTTGTTTCCGTTCTGAGTCTGTCTCAGTTAGGGCATGAGAAAGTTTAAATTGTCTTCCTCACAAACCATATGGATTGTCATCTTCTGCCGCCTTCATCTTCAACATTGTCCAGTCCCTTCTTAAAACAATGTGTCCATTTCTAAACTACTAATTTCTTTATTTTATTTTTTATTTAATTTTTCCCAAAAAAACTTATTTAAGGAGTACAAATTTCATAAGTACAACTTTAGGAATATAGCGATTCTTCCCACCATACCTGTACTCTCACTCACACTCCCACCCCACCTTCTCCTCCCTCTCCCATTCCCAGTCCCAGTCCCAGTCCCATTCTCCATTAAGATTCATTTTCAGTTAACTTTATACACAGAAGACAAACTCTATACTAAGTAAAGATTTAAACAATTTGTACACACACCCCAAAAAAACTGAGAACAAATTTCGCAGTTAACTCTCATAATACAACTCATTGAGGACAGAGGTCCTGCATGGGAAGTAAGTGCACAGTGACTCCTGTTGTTAATTTAACAATTAACACTCTTATGTATGATCACTCAAGGCTCTTGACATGAGCTTCCTTGGCTATGGAAGCCTTTTGAGTCCACAGACTCTGTCAGTATTTAGATAAGGCCAAAAGCAAAGTGGAAGTTTTCTCCTCCCTTCAGAGAAAAGTACCTCCTTCTTTTATGACCACTTCTTTCCACTGGGGTTTCACTCACAGAGATCCTTCATGTAGGACCTTTTTTTGCCACAGTGTCTTGGCTTTCCATGCCTAAAGTGCTCTTATGGGCTTTTCAGCCAGACCAGAATGCCTTAAGGGCTGATTATGAGGTCAGAGTGCTACTGAAAGCAATTGTCATTCTGTGAGTCTGCTGTGTGGTCTGCTTCCCAAGTTGGAACATTCTCTCCTTTTTAATTCTATTATTATTACCAGACACTTGATCTTATTTATATGATTACTTTGACACTTAATATGATCACTGTAGCACTTAAGATGGCATTTTTACTACCCATATTAATAGGATTTGGGATCCCATGGCAAGTTTTGTTTTGTTTTGTTTTGTTTTTTTTGACAGGCGGAGTGGAAAGTGAGAGAAAGAGAGAAAGGTTTTCCTTTGCCGTTGGTTCAACCTCCAATGGCTGCCACGGCTGGCGCACTGCGCTGATCCGAAGGTAGGAGCCAGGTGCTTCTCCTGGTCTCCCATGGGGTGCAGGGCCCAAGCACCTGGGCCATCCTCCACTGCACTCCCTGGCCACAGCAGAGAACTGGCCTGGAAGAGGGGCAACCGGGACAGAATCCGGCACCCCGACCGGGACTAGAACCCAGTGTGCCGACACCGCAGGCGGAGGATTAGCCTAGTGAGCCACAGCGCCAGCCTGGCAAGTTTTTTTTTTAAAGATTTATTTTATTTGAAGGGCAGAAGCAGAGAGAGAGAGGTCTTCCTTCCGTTGATTCACTCCCCAGATAGACACGATGGAGAGAGCTGTGCCTATCCGAAGCCAGGAGCCATGAATGTCTTCCGAGTCTCCCATTCAAGTGCAGGGGCCCAAGGACTTGGGCCATCTTCTGCTGCTTTCCCAGGCCACAGTAGATGCTGGATTGGAAGTGGAGTAGCCGGGACTCCAACCAACACCCATATGGGGTGCAGGCACCGCAGGCGGTAGCTTTACTTGCTATGTCACAGTACCAGCCCCAGCAAGTTTTTAAATGTTCTCTTAGAAGTAAGTCCATCTAAACTACTAATTTATTTGGGGCTTTTTGTTTTTTGTAAAACATCAGTGATTTTACTATTCTTCCACTGAGGCTTCACCACCAATTTGATATTTGCTCCTGCTTCAATTTTCGTAAAATGCATGTTGCTCTTACAGAATCTCTATTCAGACTGATGTCTTATTCCTCTAAGTGCCTCAAACTAGGTTCAGGTCAGCCATTGTATAACAAATTAGTGAGTTTATTTTCAGGTGAAATATTTTTGAAATCCACACATGATTTTTTGGTAATATGTATTTTCTACTAAGTTTTTGAAGACCCCTTGTATAATATTGTTATTTTGTGGGTGACTTAATTTCACTTAGCGTAGTGTCTTTGAAGTCCATCCATGCTGTGGCTTGTGTCATAAATTTCCTTCCTTCAAAAATTTAAATAAGCTCCCATCGAGGGGCTGGCATTGTGTTGTAGTAGGTTAAGCCCCAGCCTGCCACCCCTGCATCCTCTATGAATGCTAGTTGGAGTCCTGGCTTCTCTGCTTCTTTTTTATTTTTTAAGATTTATTTATTTGAAAGGCAGAGTTACAAAGAGGCAGACAGAGGGAGGGAGGGAGGGAAGGAGGGAGATCAGTTGGTCTTCCATCTACTGGTTCACTCCCCAAATGGCTGCAATGGCTAGATGTGTGCCAGTCCAAAACCAAGAGCCAGGAGCTTTCTCCAGGCTCCCTACACGGGTGCAGGGGCCTAAAGACTTGGACCATCTTCTACTTCTGCTGTTTTTCCAGGCCATAGCAGAGAGCTACATTCAGAAGTGGAGCAGCTAGGACTTAAACCAGCACCCATATGGGATGCCAGCACTGCAGGCAGCAGCTTTACCCACTACACCGCAGCACCGGCCCCTACTCAGCTTCTAGTTCAGCTCCCTGCTCATGTGCCTGGGAAAGCAATAGAAGATGGCCTGAGTGATTGGGCCCCTGCCACCTATATGGGAGACCCAAATGTAGTTCCAGGCTCCTGGCTTCAGCCTCGCCCAGCCCTGGCCATTGTGATCATTTGAGAAGTGAACCAGCAGATCTCTCTGTCTCTGTCTCTTTTCCTTTCTCTCTGTAGCTCTACCTTTCAAATAAATAGATAAAATTGTAGGGAAAAAATATCCCATTGTAAGTATATTTTGCATTTGGTTTATCTACTCATCCATCCATGGATACTTGGATTTCTTCTTTTGGTGAAGAGGGGAGGAGCTGGTGTCACTGCATCCACCCTCAGGCAGTAGTATGGTGGAATCTAGATTTCTAACCCAGTGGCATTCTCCTATGTCAGGTTGATTCTAGTACTTCCAAGGAATAGCATCTGTACTCATACCAGAAATGTTCCTTACTGGGGCTGGAGCTGTGGCATAGTAGGCTAAGCCTCTACCTGCGGCGCCAGTATCCGTATGGGCACTGCTTCATGTTCTGGCTGCTCCTCTTCAAATCCAGCTCTCTGCTACGGCCTGGGAAAACAATAGAATATGGCCCAAGTGTTGGGGCCCTGCACTCGTGTGGGAGACCCAGAAGAAGCTCCTGACTTCAGATCGGCCCACCTCCAGCCATTGCGGACTTTTGGGGAGTGAACCAGCAGATGGAAGACCTTTGTCTCTCTTTCCCTCTCTCTGTCTGTAACTATACCTCTCAAATAAATAAATGAAATCTTAAAAAAAGAAAAAGATACAGTTGGCCCAGTCTGGACAGTATCTGGAAAGAACTATAGATTTTCTGTATTAAGGATTCCTTATTACTGAGTTCCTGATGTGGGTTCTGGGCTCTGCAGTTTGGAGAAAGGACATCAGAAGGGGAGCAGCGCCACACAGAAGCCAGTCCCCATCTGCAGTCCATGAAGGGCCGGGTGCTTCATTACAGGGCTAGGACAGTCTCCAGCATCTCCACCCCTTAAAAGCTGTATCCGTTTCCAACACAGCGTGACATGGGAAAAGTGGCGAAAGGCAAATAGAGCGAGTCTTCCTCCCTGTGAGGGAGCCCCTATTTGTACAACTCCTTTCTCTTGACTCATCAAAGAAGGAATTCGAGATCAGCACAGCTTTTGAAAAGAATTTGACCATTCACAGAATTTCATCAGATTAAAGTGGCAGATTACTTCCTTAGTAGCTTTCCAATTGAGATCATGAACAGCTTCCCCAGTGCTTAGGTTTTGCTAAATACTGAAGCCCTCCCTCTCTCTCACTGACTTTTGTGATTCTTTAATTGACTTGAGTCTCAAAAGGCTTAGCTAGCCTGTGAGCAGACTGTCCAAATGGAAGTTCTGACTGATCTTACTTCAAATGTGTGACTGATCAAGTGGCTCTGGCCCGTAGAGCAAGTGGCCTAGGAGAGATTGTGTCCAGTTGGAGAGCGGTTAGAAATCTTTTCATTAGAGGTATCCAGCTATCCCTGTGCGTGTCGGGGGGAAGGAGTTTGACAGTTCAGTGTTCTCAGAGTGAAATTCTGGAGCCTTGTTCCCCTGTTGTGTACAAATTTGGCATTCTCTGACTAATTTGTTCCATGTCTGTTCTGATTTATAGACAAGAGGAGCTGCCTGAGTTTGTGCATTTTTCCCTGCCTTAACCTTGTTGCCTCGCCTCTTTCAGGGCCTTACCTTTCAGGAGGTGGAGAACTTCTTTACTTTTCTGAAGAATATTAATGATGTAGACACTGCTTTGAGCTTTTACCATATGGCTGGAGCGTCTCTTGATAAAGGTAATGAAACCTGAGGGTTTTTTCCTGGAGGGTATAAAGGTTGACTCCGAAATCTGTTAGATGACTGTCCTCCTCAGTAGTGAGATCTAAGTTTTCCTTGGCATTGTTTTATGTTTATTATGTTTTGTTGGCATTGCGTGAGTCTGGCATTTCACCCTGAGATGCCAAGCTCAGCAGATATATTTCCTGCTGCTGAAATGTACAGTCAAGGAAGACGCCTGTCTTCAAATGACTGGCCTTGAAATAGGCATCTAAGTGATGCATAGTGCAGGAAAATGCAAAGCTGCTCATCTGAGCCAGAGCCACAGTATATATAACGTGAAGCCGAAGTCACTCTGCAGTTTATGTCTTTGCTGAGAAGGAATGGCTTGTTTTGTTTATTATATTAAAGATGTCTTTTTTAAAGATAAAGTCGTGTAGCACCCCCTGTTGGCTAACTTCATATAAATTCATTTACAGTTTGTACAGGAAATGTGAGAGAGCAGAGGGAATGAAAACACAGTTTTTAAAATTTTCTGTATATTTATTATCATTTATTTGAAAGACAGAAACAGGTAAAAAGAGAGAGCTTCCACCTGCTGACTCACTTCTCAAATGCCTGCATCAGCCAGGACTGGGCCAGGCCAAAGCCAGGAGTCAGAAACTCAATCTAGGTCTCCCACATGAGTGGCAGGGACCCAAGCACTTGAACCATTACCTGCTGCCTCACAGTGTGCATTTTAGCAGGAAGCTGGGATCAGGAATGGAGCTGGGATTGGAACCCAGGCATCAGTGCAGAATGTGGGCATCCTAAGCAGTGTCCTAACAGGTGCACCAAACATTCGTCTCTAATTTTTTTCCCCAATATTCTATTATGAAAAAATTTAAGCACTCAGAACAGTTGAAATAATTACAGGTTGTACATCTCTCATCCTAAAAACTGAAACCCAAAATGATCCGAGGAGCAGGCACAGTGAATGAAGCCACCACTTGGGATGCCCATATCTCATATCAGAGTGCCCGGGATCAAATCCCACCTTTCTTTTATGTAGCTTCCTTCTGGTGCACACCTTGGGAGACAGCAGGTAATGGTTCAAGTATCTGAGTCCCTGCCAACCACGTGGAGGACCCAGATGGAATTCTAGATGCCTGGTTGTTGCAGGCATTTGGGGAGTGAACCAGCAGATCAAAGATATATGTATCTCTCCCTTAATCCTGACCCCTGTTGCTCTGCTTTTCAAATAAATAAAGTAACAAACTTTCTTTTAAATTTAGATAAAATATAATTAAAAGATAATGCTCAATTTTTTTAAAAAACATGCTCTAAAATCCAAAGCTTTTCTAAAAGATATATTTATTTATTTATTTGAAAGGCAGAGTTACAGAGAAGGAGGGAGAGACAGAGACGGAAAGATCCTGATTGAGTTACTGGCTCCTGCTCCTGGTTTAAGCCTGGCCCAGCCCCAGCTATTGCAGACATTTGGGAAGTAAACCATCAGATAAAGATCTCTGTCTGCTTTTTGAATAAGTAAAAATAAAAAAAAAAAATAAGTTTGGGGATGGTATTGTGGTACAGTAGGTTAGCAGCAACAGGGTCTCAGAGTGCCAGTTCAAGTCCTGGCTGCTCTACTTCCATCCAGTTTCCTGCTAATGCACCTGGGATGGCAGCAGAAAATGGCTCATGTGCTTAGGTCCCTGCCCCACATGTGGGAGACCAGATGGAGTTCCTGGCTCTTAACTTTGACCTGGCCCATACCTTGCTGTTGCAGCCATTTGGGGAGTGAATCAATGAATGGAAGATTTTTCTGTCTTTTCTCCCCTCCCACAACCCCTGCTGTTGCTCTGCCTTTTAAATAAGTAAATAGTAAATAAATGTTTTGTAAAGATTTATTTATTTGGAAGACAGAGAGAGATCTTGCATAACTGGTTCACTCCCCAAATGGCCACAATGGCCAGGACTGAGCCAGACCGACGCCAGGAGCCAGGAGCTTCATCCTGGTCTCCCACATGGATGCACGGGCCCATGCACTTAGGCCATTCTCCACTGCTTTCCCAGGCCATTAGCAGGGAGCTGGATCAGAAGTGGAGCAGCCAGAACTCAAACCGGTGCCTATATGGGATGCCGGCACTGCAGGCCATGGCTTTAATCTGCTGAGCCATAGCACTGGCCCCAACTAAATATTTTAAAAGGGGGGGGGGGGGGGTTGGCACTGTGGCGCAGCAAGTTAAAGCCCTGGCCTGAAGCGCCGGCATCCCATACGGGCGCCGATGCTAGTCCCGGATGCTCCTCTTCCAATCCAGCTCTCTCCTATGGCCTGGGAAAACAGTAAAAGATGGCCCAAGGACTTAGGCCCTTGCGCCCACGTGGGAAGACCCAGAAGAAGCTCCTGGCTTCTGGTTTTGGATCGGCACAGCTCCAGCTGTTGCGGCCATCTGAGGAGTGAACCAGCAGATGGAAGACCTCTCTCTGTCTCTTTCTCTCTCTGTAACTCTGTCTTTCAAATAAATAAAATAAATCTTAAAAAAATAAATAAGTAAAGTAGCCAGGACTGGGCTAGGATGAAGCTGGGAGCCAGGAACTCAATCCAAGCTCCCACATGGGTGGCAGGGGCCCGACAACATTAGCCATGACTGCTGATTCCCAGGGTTCTCGTCAGCAGAAAGCTCAAATCGGAGCGGAGTCAGGTATCAAACCCAGACACTCTGGTGTGGTTTGCAAATGCCTTAACCATGAACCACACGATGGCCCCCATCCCATGTAACTCTTAAAGTTTTTAATTATGTTAAGTTCTTTATTTTTATTTATTTGAATGGCAGAGAGAGAGAGAGAAAGAGGGAAAGACAGACATCTCCGATCTCTGGGTTCACACCCCAAATGCCTACAACAGCTGGGGCTAGGCCAGGCTAAAGCCCGAAGTCCTCAAACCAAGTCTCCTAGCTGAGTGACAGGGACTCAGCTTTGAGCCATCAGCTGATACCTGCCAGGGTCAGCACGGGCAGGCAGCTGGAATGGGGAGTGGATCCAGGACTTGAATTCCTGGCTAGAGAGTGGATATGAAACATGGGCATTCCAAGCAGCATCTCCAGCCTCTGCACCAATGCCCACGCCCCCACATGCATAACTTTTTAAAATAGTATTTGTTTGCTTAAAATAATACCTCCTGTAATCTTTGTAGAATCTTTTGAAGTCCAGGATATCTGAAGTTATTTTTGTGTATATGTAGTATCACTGGGTCCTTTGTCCAGAATAACTGGACACAAAACACCATTTGACAGCATCTGCAAATTCAAAGATGCAAGATTTGAAGTCAAATTTTATTATAAAAATAAAAATAATTTCCCCTTTATTTGCATACTTGAAAGAACAACTTTAAGACAGTAGAATTGCTTTAAAGAACAGTTACATGGGATGAGTCACTATCTGTGTTGAAATTATAGAGTATACAAAATAGAATGATTCAGGGTGGTGGTGGCAAAGGGAAATACAACTTAGTGAATAACAAAAAAGAATAAAGGGAAGATGTTTCTTTCAGATGATTTCAGGCATTTGCTGGAATGTTGTGTCTCCATGTGGTCCCCATGTAGTCCGTGCCCATTATCCTTGCTAACAGAGGCAGTGGTACAAATTACACAGCCATAAACTACATTTGGCTTGGAGCTGTATGGTTTGCCTTGACATCTTAGTTTGTTTTATCTGGGTAACAGCAGATTCCCTGGATGTATAACCATGGCTATCTAGGGGACATTGGACTAGATGTCCTGCTGAGTTGCAGGAGAAGCCACATATACTCACTTCCTAGGCCGCCATAACGAGCCACCAGCAACCTGCTGATTTAGGACAACAGGAATGTATCTTCTCACAGGTCTCAAGGCCAGGGTCCAACGTGAAGATGTTGGCAGGGCCACAGCCCCTCTGCAGGCTCAGAGAAGAATCTTTCCTTGCCTCTTCCAGCTTCAGGTGGCCCCAGGTGGCCCTTGGTTCATGGTTCCAAAAGTGCTGTCCCTAGCTGTGAAATCATGTGGCCTTTCCTTTCTTCTCCCCATACGTCTTTGTTCTCCATGTCCTTATTAGGACACTTGTCACTGGATTTTTAGGTCCCAACTGGGTAATGCAGGATGGTTTCATCTCTAGATTCTTAACTGTATCTGCAGAGACCCTGTTTTAAAACCTTCATGGATTCCAGGGGCTGACATGTAGACATAGCTTTAAAAAAAAAAAAAAATTTATTGATTTATTTCAAAGGCAGCCCAGGCTGTTGCAGGCATCTGGGGAGTAAGCCAGTAGATGGAAGATCTCTCTCTCTCTCTCTCTCTCTCTCTGTCCCCTGTTCTCTGTTCTCTGCCTTTCAAATAAATAAAAACTTTCAAAAAGAAAGAAAGAAAAGCATACAGACTTTCAAGTCATGCTGCCTGAATTTGGATCTTGGCTCCATCATTTACTAGCTGGGTAGCTTTGGGCAATCTCTCAATTTAGTTTCTATGTTTTTAAAATAAGAATAAAAATATGCACATGATAGGGGTGTTGTGAGGATACATCCACACGAAGCACTCGGCTTGTGCCAGTCAGGTGATGAACATTAAATAAATGGCAGCAGCTTGCACAGGCTTGTCAAGCAGTGCCCGGTCAGAGGGCCTGGGAGCTTCAAACCAGAGCCCCTGGCCCACAGCAGTGGGGAAGAAAGACCGGCGGGGATCACAGCAAGAATAATTTTGGTCTGGCTTCTGCTCTCGGTCTCAGCTGTCTTCATTTTTCCCAGAAGGTTAGGACCTTCAGAAGTTGGTGTCTTTGAGAGGCGCTGGCGCTGTCTCTTCCTTGGCTGTTTTAGAGCGTTATAAACCAGTCTTTAGACATAATTTAGCACAAAATTTCCCAACAGCATTGTGAAGAACACTGTAGGCTGCAATATGGTTCTGTGGGTTTAAAAAAAAAAAGTTCCAGGGCTCAGATACAAGTTTGGAAAATGCCAGAGTTATGTGGAATTTCTTCACGCAACACTGCTCCTGCCAGCTTTTTAATAGGC